TGGCACAGGGAGGCCTTCTACACACAAACAGCCATCTCCCCTCTTCTACAGTGTGGGCCCACCTAAAGATCCAGACTCCCCAGAGTCTGACCAGGCCTATGTCATCTGAGTCTTCACAACTTTGCCATGCCATTTGCCTGCCATGCTTTTGGTCATGCTCTGATTTTTTTTTTTTAAGATTTAATTTATTTATTTGACAGAGGGAGATCACAAGTAGGCAGAGAAGCAGGCAGAGAGAGAGGAGGAAGAAGGCTCCCTGCTGAGCAGAAAGCCCCATGTGGGGCTCGATCCCAGGACTCTGGGATCATGACCTGAACCGAAGGCAGAGGCTTTAACCCATGCTCTGATTCTTAACCACATCCCCATTCCCAGGGCTTCTCAAAGCCCTACCCTCCCTTCAAGCCACTGTTTCAGGCCCCCACCCAGAAAGCTTTGAGGGTTCCAACTCATGCTGAATAAAAGCTTCTTTGCCCTTAGGTTGTTCCGTATCTGGGCTACACCTTGTAGCCCTGGACCATTCTCCCTTGGTTTCCAGTATGTTACCTGTGGCTTCCCGAGCTGATGGCAATGCCTGTGAGTCAGACACCACATATCCTTCTGGAGTCTCCACCGAACTGGGCCTGCAGCAAAGCATCTGATTAATGGGATTAATACTGAATGGGACCCAGCTAGGGGGAAGCAAGGGTGAGGTAGGCTGAAGCTGGGAGGGAGGCACTCCCGGCAAGTTCACAAACACCAGTGCTCCCTCTTCAGACTGGCTCTAGGAGGTAGCTCAGACTTTGCATCATAGGCATGTGCAGAGACATATATATACACACACATGTGTGTGTATACATGCATAGGTGTGTGTGCACTCACATGCAATTTATAGTTGGAGGTAGAGGTGGGGAGATAGGTGATGGGCCAGGGAGGCCTGTTCAAGGAAGTGGGGCTTCTGAGAGAAAGAATGAAGCAGAGAATCCCTTCTCCCCGTGGGGAGGCGGGCAGGTGATTACTCAGCCTGTGGGCCCTCATTGATCAGTTATCACCTGCTCCTTGTAAACCACAGGGGCTGTTCATATCTTGGGCTGATACAGGCATGGCGGCTACAGGATACTGCGCCGGGGATGCCTGCGGCCAGAGCAGAGGTCCTAAGTGCTTGTTCTGGGTCCCCAGCTGGGGCCTCGCAGAGAGAGGGCAGTGCAAGACTCCAGCTCTAGACACCAAAGTGTCCAGCAGGCAACTCTGGGATGTTGCTTCTCAGTTTGTCCAGATATTTTCACATCACAATACCTGGCCACTCTCCTTCCAGAAGTTTCTAGCCCCTTGGTACCCTAAGTCCGGCTCCAGCTCAACGGTGATTAGGACTACTGAAGGAACCCAGGTCAGCTCCATCTCTGAGGGTCTCCATTTAATCCACCTCCCCTCCACAGTCCAGCTCCTGGATCCTAGAGCCAGCCCAGCTCCACCCGGCAGTTCCTCCCAGAATCTTTAACACCCTCAGCCAGGACACACACAAAACAATCTAGCTGACAGTTGGCTCGAATGACCAATCAGCCTCCACCTGGGGACCTCTGCTCCCATCAGGTGTCCTTGACAGATACCACCGTTGAGCCTGAGTGACTCCTGGTGGGCCTCGAGTACTGGCCTGCCATGAGGGCAAGTCCATGGGCAACAGTCAGGCACAGCTGTGTCTCCTGGCTTTAAGGCTAGACTGCAGGCCTGAACTGAGCCTAGGACAGCCTGAACACTTGGCCTCCCTTTTGTTGAGAGGTACTCCTGCAAACACTCCCTGGAGGCCAGACCCACCTTCCTGAAGACCCTAACCTAAACTGGGCCAGCCCCAGCCACAGCCCCAACCCTCCCCCCTCTTTCCTTTCCAGCTGCCCACTGTCTATCAGAAAGCAGAGACTCTGAAGTGGAGAGTGGGGGCAGGGTGCAGAGGGGTACAAAAGATTTTGGAGCTAGCAGGAAGACAAAAGAATGACAAGAAGCAACAGCTGAGCTGTCCGTAAAGGGAAACCTGAGACAGGCACAAAGCCCAGGTCCTAATCCCAGGCTCGTGTGGAGCCAGGGTAGGGGTCCCCCCAAGGTCAAGGATTCCAGGGGTGGGCAGAGAGGAGTGATCAGCCCAGCGGATAAGGTGGACTTCTCCCATGTGCTCAGAAAAACTGGTGCTTCATTCCTCTCCCGGGGCCAAGCCCCCTGCCTCTTCCTACCCCACATTTGCTCCCATTTCTGGGTTTGGGGGCCCCTTTCTGAGTTCCCTCTTTCCATACAGAGGTCCACTCTAACTTGCCCTAGCACACCCCCTCCTTCCCCATTCCTGGTAGTAATTTTAGCAACTTTTTCTCTGAACTCCTGATGGCATGTCACAGCAAATGGCCCCTGTTTGGGCCTGACACTTGATCAGGGTGGTGACAGAGCCCAGACAAAGCAGGCACCATGCCGGGGAGGGGAGGGCAGCGCAGGGGAGAGAGATCACCTTCCTTTCTCTCCAGGCCTTATTTGGTCTACCTTGGTGAAGTTGCCCTCCCCCCAGCCCCTCTTTATTTATAGCATTGTGCTCTGCTCTCCTTTGTCTTGTCCGCTCTCACTCTGCAGTACACACTGCAGGATCCCCACCCACCCCCGCATGGTGGGGCCCTGGCCCCTCACTCTCCTCGCCAGGAATGTGCCTGTAAGCAAAGGCCCTGAGTGGAGGCCCAGATTCCACTTCTACAAACATTCGAATAGAGCTGTCGGGAGGAAGGGTCTTTATTTTGGTCCCTCTTCGATCCTTATTGACTAGAACAATCCCACATTAGTAGGTGCTCAATAAATACTTGGGGAATGAAGGGATCAGCAAAGCTGCTTGGTCTTCAGACAGTCGCTAGTGGAAGGAAAAGACTCCTGACAGAGCCAAGGGCCGGTGCGGGAGAGCTGGGGAGTGAGTGGGGGTCTTTAAGGCTGTCAGACCCTCCAGTCTGTCTCCAGATCCTGGGGCTATGAGGCAAAGAGCTTAGCAGCAGGGCGGTAAGATCCAGCCTGCTGTGGAGTCATGGGCCTCGGTAAGACTGTAACTCCAATAGGTCAGGGCCCCCCAAATGCAGAGGAAGGAAACATAGTTCAATGGATCTCCTAAATGTAAGAAAGGCTTTCCAACTTCACGGCCAAGGAGACTGGCCCTGGGTGAAGACCCCAACTAGAAAAGGGCTTGGCATCCTTTGTGCCTATCAGTCACTGGCATCTGCACCTGAGCCCTGGGAAACCAGGCGGGGGTGGCTGCTTTGGGCTCAGGAAGCTGCAAGGGGAGGCTAAAAAGAGGGTTTTACCCTTTGTCACCAAACCCTGAAGTCTCTACTAGTGGGCTTAGTTCCTCAGCCTCTGGGAGGGTCTGCTCTGGGCCCACAGAGCTTGTCCTGCTGGTCGGTTGTCAGCAGCCCCTGTGGTTGGGGATCAACCCTCCACTCGCCTGCACCCTTCCCCCCAACCCATGGCTGCTCAAGGCCCTCATACTGTGCCTGGGTTACCAAGCAGCACCCCATCTCCCCTGGGCCCCCCACCTGGATTCATCCTTCTCTGCTGTGCCTACCCCCCTGTTCAAAATGTACCTGTTCTGCCTGCCCCATCCCCCAGGCCTGCGCTCTCGCTCTCATTCCAAGCTGACAGCTAATCAGATGGATTAATCCGCATGCGCTGCAGAGCAGCGCTGGGAAGGAGGGGATTTCAAAGCAAAGCGCTCAGTGGTTGCTTGGACACAGAGCCAGTGAAGCTTGCACATGCGGTAGGTAGAAGAGGGTGGCATTAGCTACGTTCTGTGCTCATGGGGTGAGCTCTAGCCCCCTTTCCTCACCTCCTTGGTGGCTGTTTCTAAGGCCGGCAGGAAAGGGGGACATTTTTCCATTTCTCCTGCCCCAGTTGCCAGGACTCCAGTCTCCCCGGGTCTGGGGAGAGGCTGTTCCACAGAACTCGAGAGGACAGGTGGGCCAGGCAGCAGCTATCTTCCCCAGGGGTCTCCTAGCTCCAAGCAGCTATATTATCTAGGTATCTAGGCCTCCAAGAGTATAGTGTCTGGATCTGGATTAGAGCATTCAGTACCTGAAGGCTGAGCTAGGAAAATGAGTCGTGTAGGGGCCTCCTCTAGGACCATCAGGCAGTAGCTGGGTCTGCCTTCTGAGCACAGCGGGTCCATGCCTCCTTGGACTTCCAGCCCTCCCTCTGCAGGCTGGCCTCCATTCCTCAACTGCTCAGTTCCCCCAACTGCCTTGAACCTTGCTGCCCTGCCTAGCTGCATGACCTCAGAAAAGACACTTCCCGTCTCCATAAAACAAAGGACTAACGAATGGCCTGCCTGGCTCTGAGGTTCGGTGACCTCAACACACCGCCCAGCTGGTCCAAGGAAATCAGTGCCCAAGCCAGTGTCCCCATCTCTAAGCTCCCTGGTCATTCTTGCCACTTGGCTGGGAAACCTCCTTCCAGCTGCCCCAGTCTAGCGCCCTCCCCGGGGGGCCATGCCCCCAGCTCTGCCCCTCCCCTCTGCTGCTGCTGACCCTCACCCCCTCCCATCCCACTGTTGGATGTAGGACCCAGGCCAGGAAGCACAGGGGACACTGCACGTGGGGCTGGGCCAGCTCAGGGGGCAGGGGTCGGAGGGGCAGCTGTGTCAGAGACCAGGAGAGTCCTGGGGGCAGGGCCAGGACCCTGCCTGCCTGAGGTCACGGTGGTCTGACCAGCCCCCTTTCCTGCCAGCTATGGAATGTGAAGCCTGGCCTGGGAGATATTTTGGCTACACTTTGAGCCATCCCCGCCCCCTGGAACTCAGACCCTGCACACTCCATGCCATAACAATGACGACCACTTCCAATTGTTTCCTAGCTGGGGGGGGGTGGGGTGGGGTGGGGTGGGGAGCACTTTGGGGAAAGGAGGGGGAGCCTGGGGGAAATGCTTCTAGTGACAACAGCCCTTTCTAAATCCGGCTAGGGACTGGGTACAGGTGGGGGTGGGGGGCCTGCTGCCGGATATATATGGCCCCTGACCAGGTCAAGCTCCACAGCTCTCCCCTGTGCTCTGTCTTTCCTTGCTGCTCTCAGGTAGGAGCGCCGAGCAGGAAGCCTTCCTCTGGGATAAGAGGGCCCCAGCTTTAGGAAGGGGCTCCTCTAGGAACAGCAAGTGCATGCAGGGCTTCCTGCAAAGTACCAGGTCTGATCATTGAGCACACAAGTGCAGGTCTAAACATGAGTGTAGGTGCCCTGGGAGTGTGGGAGGGGGGTGTTGTGTGTGAAAGTCTATATCTGAGCATATTGGACCAGAATGTGTTATGCATTAGAGGTGTGTGTGTGTGTGTGTGTGTGTTGTGTACAAGCATGCACAGTCTCAATGCATGGTGAGGGGAGGGTGTGTACGGTGCTGCCTAATTAAGATATAGTAGTATGTAGGGGGAGACGTATTTATGATCATGCCTGAGGATAACTGGTCCATTTGAGGGGAGGGAGAAGAGGATGGCAGAGAACAATGACTTAGCAAGTATATATGCTTAGAAGCTAGTTGTGTGTGGGGGGGTGTCTGTCATGGGTAACTACCCGTATCTATGCACATGGAGATGTTTGTGCACACATCCAGGAGTCGAGGCTCCTGCAGCCTGTGTACACCCTGCAAAAGGGGCTCACAGGCACATGGTGGGGCTGTTTCAGGTGTTTTGTGTGTGTCTTTTTTTTTTTTTTTAAGATTTATTTATTTAGTTGAGAGAGAGAGAGTGAGTATGACCGGGAGGGGCAGAGAGAGAGGGAGAGGGAATCTCCAGCAGACTCAGCAGCAAGCGCGGAGCCCAACGCAGGGCTGGATCTCATGACCCCAATATCATGACCTGAGCCGAACCAAGAGTGGGACACTTAACCCACTGCAGCACCCAGGCGGCCCTGCTTCAGGTCTTTGTGCAATTGGGACTATACAGCGATCTGTGCTGATTTATACCGTATGCATACTTGACGTGTGTGTCTGTTGCCAAGGCATGACGGCATCAGGGAGGTATGGGAAGGAAGCGTGTCCGTGTGAGGCATGTGCATGAGCAGCGCACACGCGTGTTCGTCAGAGGACATGTGGAGGGCATTTGGCATTCGGTGGGTGTGTCAATGAGAGGATGCCCACAAGGGTCTCCTCTCCGAGAGTGTCCACCAAGACTGACAATCAAACGAGGGCAGGATGGAAGAGAACTGGCTTTGGAGAGACATGAGACGTGGGTTCAAGGCCTGGCTCTGCCATTTCTCGTTATGTGTTCTCGGACAAGCAAGTCCCTTAACCTTGATTTCCTCATCCGAAGGATGGGGTAAGGATTGAGTGAGAGATGCATAAACGTGCTTTGCAGACTGTAAAGCGCTGAACAAATGTGACCAGTAGCTGTTTCTCTTGTGGCTCCAAGTAGGCAAGTTTCACTAGTTGAGTGTAGGCAAGGATGGGACTGTCTCCCAGGTGGGAGGAGGAGGAATAGACATCAGGAAACTGTTAAAATTATTGCTCAGGAGAAAGGGCCACGGTGTTTGGAAAGCCAGACAGAGGACAGGACCAGAGAAGTTGGCACCACTCCCGATTTGTTTTCAGGCCTGGGGGAGGGGTGGGTGCCAAAGGGCAGAGCCAGGGAGCAGCGGGGAGGTGGACCTGACGCAGCCTTCCGTCTATCCAGGTCCCCTGCAGGCTTGAGCCCCTTTCATTTAGTGTACACCTTTGAGAAGCCAAGGTAAGGAAAGCTGAAGATGGAGTGTGGGGGAATCTGGGAAGATTGCCCATGACAGCCTCAAAGCCAGGTTATGGGACTCTAGTTTCTGCCTTGCCTTGGGAAGTGTATCTTGGTAACAAAGAGCCCTTTGCCTGTGACCAGGGAAGAGTCAGGGAGGGACAAGGACTAGAGATGGACGTAGTTAGCTTTCTGCTCCCAGAGAAGCCCAGAATGCTCCTTTCTCCTCTACGAGAGCCCCAGGCTGAACAGACATTAGCCTCCCCTTCTGCCCTGACAGGTTTGCTAGGCTATTCTCAGGTTGGTGGATCGGCTCAAAGAATAAGGGATGCAAGGTGGCCTGCTCCTGACTCACAAGGAGAGTGCTAGGCTCTGGGGCTCCCACTGAAGGAGAGAGAGCCTGGGGAAGGGAGTGGAGGCTGGGTGGAAGGGAGGGCATCTGGCTTCTTTTTCGACTCCCACCCCCTGCAGGCGCAGCCATGGTGGATGCGGAGATGGCCGTGTTTGGGGCCGCTGCCCCCTTCCTGCGCAAGTCAGAGAAGGAGCGGCTAGAAGCCCAGACCCGACCTTTTGACCTCAAGAAAGATGTCTTTGTGCCTGATGACAAAGAGGAGTTCGTCAAAGCCAAAATTGTGTCTCGAGAGGGTGGCAAAGTCACCGCTGAGACCGAAAATGGCAAGGTAGGTAGCAGGGCTGGCATGAGAGGCCCTCTTGGGACCCCCTCCCGCAGCTGGGGTACACAGAGAAGTTCCCACCAGGACCCATCCCACACAGACCTGAGGACAGCCTGCTTTCCCCCTCTTGGAGCAGGGATCCAGGGCTTCCAAACAGCCCTTCTCATTCCCAATATCCTGTCTATCTTCTCTGTGATGCCCGTCCTTCTCTCTTGAACATGGCTGTCCTAGAACTTGCCCTACTCCTTTCCAGACGGAGGGAGGGCTGACTGTGGGGCCTGCATGGGGGCTCTTGCAGACGGTGACCGTGAAGGAGGACCAGGTGATGCAGCAGAACCCGCCCAAGTTCGACAAGATCGAGGACATGGCCATGCTGACCTTCCTGCACGAGCCCGCCGTGCTCTACAACCTCAAGGAGCGCTACGCCTCTTGGATGATCTACGTGAGTGCGCCATCCAGGACGCCCTTTGAGTCTAGTAGCTTCCTGGTCCCCAGAGGCCCACCTGCTGGAGCCACAGGTTTCTGTTTCTTGTGTCCAGGCATTACTGCACGCTGTCCGTGGCCCTGCATCCCTGGTTCAGTTCTAACACCCCCAAGGCTGGGAGTCCTTAGATTGAGTGCTTTTGTAGATTTTCCCTTCTCTTCTTCCCCTCCTGGCATTGTTCTCTAACTCGGAAACCCACCGTTCCTCCCTCTTTATCATGAGCAACTCAACCCTTCTTCTCTACCCCAGACCTACTCGGGCCTCTTCTGCGTCACCGTCAATCCCTACAAGTGGCTGCCAGTATACAATGCCGAGGTGGTGGCCGCCTACCGGGGCAAGAAGAGGAGCGAGGCGCCGCCCCACATCTTCTCCATCTCTGACAACGCCTATCAGTACATGCTGACAGGTGACAGGCCTTGGTGGCAGGGTTTTCTTGGGATTGGCATGGGGGGGGGGACACACAGTTGGTCTGGGCAACTGGGAGGTGCCTGGAGGGAGGCTGGGATGTGGGGTGGGGGAAGGGTGGGTGGATGGCAGGCAGGAGCATCCTGTGTGTTTCCTAATTTTTCCTCCCTGCTTGTTCCCAACAGACAGAGAAAACCAGTCCATCCTGATCACGTGAGTGTAGCTCCTAACCCGTTCTCTTTCAGAACCTTCTTGACCCCAGCCCCTATCAAGGACCCCAGCCCCCATGCATGGACCCACAATTCTCATTTCCCTCCATCTTTGTGCCAGCTTCTCTTTCTCTGTGACCTTTACCCTTGCCTTGCCTTCCCCACTTCTTTCTGCTTCCCACCCCTCTTGGAGTTTTCCTCTCCCGTTCCTTATGCTCACTCTCCTCCAGCTCATAACTCATTTATCCATAAGCCCAGTATCACTGTGTCTTCATCCCCTCCTCGTTTTCTTTCATCTTTCCCTTCAGTAACGTTCCCCATTCTGCCAGCCTCACCCATTCGTTGCCAAAAGGGCCAAGGCCCATCTCTTCACATTGACCTTGCCTAGCTAAGACCAAGTTCCTTCTGCCCAAACCTGGCAACTTCTTGTGGCACCCTTCCTGGTGCCCCCCTGATCCCACGTGTGGTCAGGGTGCTTCCTGCTTTGGGGCTCCCACTGTCAAGTAGGACCAGACCTTCTCTCCTGACTTGAGGTTTGTCTCAATGAACTGCATCTGTTCACTGCCTAATGAGGCTCTGACTATCCCAACAGCGGGGAATCTGGGGCCGGGAAGACAGTCAACACCAAGAGGGTCATCCAGTACTTCGCTGTTATTGCTGCCATTGGGGATCGGAGCAAGAAGGATCAGACGCCAGGCAAGGTAGGCCTGTTGTCCTCCACGGGCCTGCACTACAAAAGGGGAGGGGGAGGCCTCTCACCCACCATCCTTCCTGATCTTTGCAGGGCACCCTGGAGGACCAGATCATCCAGGCCAACCCCGCCCTGGAGGCCTTTGGCAATGCCAAGACCGTCCGGAATGACAACTCCTCCCGCTTCGTGAGTGATCCCTGACCTTGGATTTGGGATTTGGGTTGGTGGAGGGATGGTGTCAAATACAAGCTTTGCCTCAACTCATCATCGGTCTCCTCAATCTCCCCAGGGGAAATTCATTCGAATCCATTTTGGAGCAACTGGAAAGTTGGCATCTGCAGACATAGAGACCTGTGAGTGCCATGAATCTGCTAGGACTTGGCTTGAGCTCACCCTTGTTCTAAGTGATCACAATCCCAAGCTATCTCTCTCTTCTGTCTCTCCATCTATGTCTCTCTTTAGGCCTCCGCCTTTCAGTCTCTCTCCCTCTCTTTCTGTCTCTCTCTGTGTCTCTGGGTCTGTATACTTATTTCCCTCTTAGACTTCCTCTAGTCTTTCTCCACCTCTATCTCTTCATGTCTGCATGAGAGTCTCTCTCTTTGTCTTTCTCTTTTCCTCTGCCTTTTATTTGCTACATTTATCATTCATTTTCCTCTATTTCCTTGTACCTAAATCCCCAAATTTCTTTCGCTCTTCTCCCCCTACTGTTCACAGACCTTCTGGAAAAATCCAGAGTTATTTTCCAGCTGAAAGCAGAGAGAGATTATCACATTTTCTACCAAATCCTGTCTAACAAAAAACCTGAGCTGCTGGGTGAGTCAGAGCTACCAACCGAGACCAACTATCTCCATGGTAACCTGGTCCCTCTGTTTGCGGCTGCTTGCAGACATGCCCTGGGTTTATGGCACTGCTGGATTCAGTTCTGTGGGATGTGAGACCACAGTCAGCCTTGTCATATGCTTTCCTGCAAGCCCTGTACTGTGGTAGGCAACCCCAGTGAGAGCCAGACTTTTGTGCCCCTTCCTCAACCCATCTTCTCCTCCCAGACATGCTGCTGATCACCAACAACCCCTACGATTATGCATTCATCTCCCAAGGAGAGACCACGGTGGCCTCCATCGATGACTCTGAGGAGCTCATGGCCACTGATGTAAGTGGGTAAGAACCTGGTAGAGAAGTGAGGGCACTGGCAGAGGGGTAAATGAGACCAGTTCATTGGCTAAGGAGGAGAACTGAGACGCTATCTGTTATTCAAAGTGGTCTGACCGTCCCCAAGGGCCAGAACATGCCTTCTGACCAGGATGTGTTGGGGAATGGGTATGTTGAGATGGGGTGACCAGTATTTGGTGTTCGAGCAAACAGAAAAGGCTGAACATTGTGGGACAGAGAAGCAGACAAGCCAAGAAGCAAAGCATCACCAAGGGAAGGGGGGTGGTTCATGCAGTTGCCATGGGATTGGGGCAGCCTATTAGGTGAAGACTAGATATAGACAGGTAGAGAAGGTCTAAGCAGGGAATCAAGTGTAGGGTCGAGAAGAGAGACAAAAGTAGAAAACATGAGTGGGTGGCCAGAGCACCTCCAAAGGACAAATGTGGCCACTAATGCCAGATCTGGGGCAGTGTGCAACCTTCTTGCACTTGGTTTTTGAGTTCCATACTGAGTATGGGAGTCTCAGAAGCTACAGGGATTCAGGAGAGAAGTTTTCTCTCCAGCTGAAGAGGGATCTCATTTATCTGCCATACTTCCTTTTCTGGGGTCCACCAATATGGGGTCTGCCTACAGAATGCCTTTGATGTGCTGGGCTTCACTCCAGAGGAGAAGAACTCCATGTACAAGCTAACGGGCGCCATCATGCACTTTGGAAACATGAAGTTCAAACAGAAGCAGCGAGAGGAGCAGGCTGAGCCAGATGGCACTGAAGGTGGGAGTCTGGTATGCTGGGGACAGGTGGGGGCCACATCTGGAGAGGAGTCCTCCCTGTGCCAACTTGGCTGCCTGCCCTCTCCTTCCAGAGGCTGACAAGTCCGCCTACCTCATGGGGCTCAATTCAGCCGACCTGCTCAAGGGGCTGTGCCACCCTCGGGTGAAAGTGGGCAACGAGTACGTCACCAAGGGGCAGAATGTCCAGCAGGTGGGTCATCTTCAGAATATAAGTGGGGAGGGGGCTGGCAGGCTTCAGGGAGGGCTTTGGATTTCATTCTCTGCATTAATCTGCTCGTTTGGTTTCTCCCTCACCTTCCAGGTATCATATGCCATCGGGGCCCTGGCCAAGGCCGTGTACGAGAAGATGTTCAACTGGATGGTGACGAGAATCAACGCCACCCTGGAGACCAAGCAGCCACGCCAGTACTTCATAGGTGTCCTGGACATCGCCGGCTTCGAGATCTTTGACGTGAGTGGGGGAGCCTAGGCACACATGCGTGGGGGTGGGGGTAAGGGGGAGGGTGACTCACTCGTTCCCACCTGTGACCATCATGGCCAGTCTCGGGAAAGGCTGATGCCTCGTCCTGTCTTCCAGGGGAGCACTTTTCCCCACCAGCCCAACAGGGCAGGGGCCTGGCCACACCCCTGGCTGGGCTTGGGCAGGCCAGGTCAGACCACTTCGGGGTGGGGGGACCACACGGGCTGCTCAGACCCCTGCGGGCCTGACCCACTCCGTCCCTGCCCCACTCCGTCCCTGCCCCCTGCAGTTCAACAGCTTCGAGCAACTGTGCATCAACTTCACCAACGAGAAGCTGCAGCAATTCTTCAACCACCACATGTTCGTGCTGGAGCAGGAGGAGTACAAGAAGGAGGGCATCGAGTGGGAGTTCATTGACTTTGGCATGGACCTGCAGGCCTGCATCGACCTCATTGAGAAGGTGCTGCCTCCCCCGCTGCCTGTGTCCCCGTCCCCTGGCGTTCCAGACAGAGTGGCTAAATTCCCCACTCACACCCTACCTGAATGCCCCCGTCTAAATGGTAGCCCCCACCCTGCTGGGGAACATGCCCTGGATCCCGAGCCCTGTTGTGTCCTGACCACCCAGGACAGGGTGGCACAGGGAGAGCTGAGGTCCTAGGGGCTTGAGAATGGACACAGGGAGGATGGGCAGCTCCAGGAATCCTCCCATACCAGTGTGTTTAATAACCCTGGTTTGACCTGGTTTGAGTGTGGGGCAGGGAATCAGAGTACACCTGTTTTCAGCCCCCACATCACAGGGATCTGGACGATGGAGTGCTGTGTAAAGCATCCATATCATTCATATTCCCAGACTTTCACAAAGGTCCCTCTGAAAGCAAACAAAGTTTTCCACCTTGGGAAGGCATGAACAGGTGTAGGTTGGTAAATACCTGTTACCTTAATTCCCAAAGGGGCATCACCATAAGCAAATACTGAGCTTAGAGCAGGATGCTTTTGCATCTGCATGAAGCATGCTCAGTGACGCTTTCCCCTCTACCCTCAGCCCATGGGCATCATGTCCATCCTGGAGGAGGAGTGCATGTTCCCCAAGGCCACTGACATGACCTTCAAGGCCAAGCTTTATGACAACCACCTGGGCAAGTCCAACAACTTCCAGAAGCCACGCAATGTCAAGGGGAAGCCGGAAGCCCACTTCTCCCTGATCCACTATGCTGGAACCGTGGACTACAACATCCTGGGCTGGCTGCAGAAGAACAAAGACCCACTCAATGAGACGGTGGTGGGCTTGTACCAGAAGTCCTCCCTCAAGTTGCTCAGCAACCTGTTTGCCAACTATGCAGGGGCTGATGCACGTAAGTAGAGACTAGAACCCTGAGACTAAGGAGCAGGGTTTCTGCCATGGTCCTGAGGCAAGCCCATTGCAACTCTTAACCCCTTCCGTGTCCGGTTGTGCCCTAAGGTTTACAGGCTCAGTGAAATAGAATGGGGTGGAGAAGGTGGACCCCACATAGTAAAGACCCTCACCTGGAGGTCAGATATGAGTGAGGATGTAAGGAGAGTCCGTGATGGAGGCCTCTTCTCCATCCACACGTCCACTCAGGTCCTTTTCCCTGACTCTCCTCCCACAGCTGTCGATAAGGGCAAAGGCAAAGCCAAGAAAGGCTCATCCTTTCAGACCGTGTCAGCTCTACACAGGGTAAGCGTGTGCCCCCAGCCCCAGCCCCAGCCCAGCATGGCTCCCCAGCACCCACCAGCCCTGACTTCTCTGTCTTCTCCTTCCCTGTGGCCCCTTTCCCTCCTTGTCTTTCCTCCTCTCCATTCTTTCCCTCTTTGCCGGTGGTCTCTTCCTCTGTGTTTCCCATCCCACTCTCCCCTTCCCTCTGTCCTTCCGACCTCTCTCTCCTCTGTGTCCTCCCCGCCATTCCTTCATCCCCTCTCTCTTTCCCTTCCTTCCCTACTTTTCTCTCCTTCACCTGCATTACTTTTCCCCTCCTGTGCTTTGGGTCACAGGAAAATCTGAACAAGCTGATGACCAACTTGCGTTCCACACACCCCCACTTTGTGCGTTGCATCATCCCCAATGAGACAAAGTCTCCAGGTGAGGTCCGAAACTCAGCCCAGCCCCTTGCTGGCTGCATGCCCCATGCCGTGGGGACAGGGACTCCTCAGCCATCTCCTAATCCCCCACCTTAGTGGTTTCCAAATGACACTCTCCTCCGGTGCCCCATGAGATGGCAGACTAGTCTCTCCCCATTTCCCCGTATTTGCAGCGTGGCTCAAGGGGCCCTGTAAGGCACTTTCATGGGCATTGCCTCACAGCACACAACCCCCAGTGAGACATATAGAGATTGTTTATCCTTTTTGACTGATTAGGAATTCCAGTTCCTCAGGGGCCTGGCTCTGCTCTGGTCAGCTTATTGACCTTGGTGAGGTGCCTTAACTCTTCTGGGCTTAGTTTCTTCTCTAGAAAATGGCAACTACCTATGATAATAAATACAACGTAAAAGAAGGAATGGGAAAACCTTTGGTTATTCTTAAGAGTACAGCTAAGGAAAAAAAAAAAAAAAAGGATTTTCCCTAAGGTTGCTGGCTAGTGAGAGGCAGACCCAGAATCAGAGTCCAGAATTTTTGGCTTAGCCCGGCACTCTCCCCACACCTTTCTTTCCCACCTCCTCTGCTGCAGGGGTGATAGACAACCCCCTGGTCATGCATCAGCTGCGCTGCAACGGTGTGCTGGAGGGCATCCGCATCTGCAGGAAGGGCTTCCCCAACCGCATCCTCTACGGGGACTTCCGGCAGAGGTGGGTACAGGGGCTCCCCAGAGCTCAGGGAGCAGGGGGAGCCTGGGCAGACTTGGTGGGGAAGCAAGTCCACAGGTGGATCTGAGTGCTATGGGCAGAGCAGACTGGTCCAGAACGTGAGTGACTCGGGGCATCACCCTCTCCAGGTACCGCATCCTGAACCCAGCAGCCATCCCCGAGGGCCAGTTCATTGACAGCAGGAAAGGGGCAGAGAAGCTGCTGGGCTCCCTGGACATTGACCACAACCAGTACAAGTTCGGCCACACCAAGGTGAGGGAAGGGAGGAGGCGAGCTGACTACAGAGAGACCTCTCCTGTCCTTTGGGTCCCCACCTCACAACTCCTTCCCTTTTATCAGTCATCTTAGGACCATCTCTGAACTGCCTTCTCCCCCTCCCCATGGACCATCCAGCGCCCCTGTCCCAGCTCCAGCTGTCATTGGCCTCCTCCCTTGAGTTCTTTCCTAGGGTATTACACTGCTTAAAAACAACCTCTCCTCTTTCCCCTCCCGGCCCACCCACTGCTGGCCCACAGGTGTTCTTCAAGGCGGGGCTGCTGGGGCTGCTGGAGGAGATGCGGGACGAGAGGCTGAGCCGCATCATCACCCGCATCCAGGCCCAGTCTCGGGGTGTGCTCTCCAGAATGGAGTATAAGAAATTGCTGGAACGCAGGTGAGGGCTTCAAAGGAGGCTCCTGGCCATCTAAGGCCCAGGCTGATTCAGGGGCAGTGTCAGGAGAAAGCTCACTGAGCCGTGAAGCAAGCAGACTAGCAGGAGGGGCTCCTATGGACCCCGGATGGGCCTCACGGCCAGGGCATCAGAGAGGAAGGGAGAGCTCTTATTTACAAGTCAGGGCTTCAGGACAGGAAGGAGCTGGGACTCTTACCACCCTCTTGCTGGGCCCCTGCAGAGACTCCCTGCTGATCATCCAGTGGAACATCCGGGCCTTCATGGGGGTCAAGAACTGGCCCTGGATGAAGCTGTACTTCAAGATCAAGCCGCTGCTCAAGAGCGCAGAGACGGAGAAGGAGATGGCCAACATGAAGGAGGAGTTCGCGCGCATCAAAGAGGCGCTGGAGAAGTCAGAGGCTCGCCGCAAGGAGCTGGAGGAGAAGATGGTGTCCCTGCTGCAGGAGAAGAATGACCTCCAGCTCCAAGTGCAGGCGGTGAGGCTCCTGGGCCTCTGTTAGCTCGCCGGTCCTGCTCAGCCAACATTCCCCACGCATCCTGCACCTCCCCACCCAGGGCTCACCTTGTCCTCTCAAAGACACAGGTTTCTGGAATCAACACTCCAAAGTCCTCCAAGGGGATCCCTCTAGAGAACAAAAGGGAAGGGGGGAAAGAACCAACTTTTAAAAACACTGGCTTTCCTCTTGGTTTCAACCTGGATCCACAGCCCAATAATTTTTTTGAACTTAGGTAAACCATGCATTGTCTTTGAGTCTCAATGTCTTCATCTCTGGACTAGGGATGAAGCTGCCCATCTTACCAGGCAGTAAATATGTAAAGTGCTGACATCAGTAAATTCAGTTCCTTTCCTGCAGTGAAGTAGACCAGAGGAAGAGGGCCTCTCTGCTTCCATCCCCCAATGTTCCCATCACATTGTCCTGAAATTCTTCCCTTCATCATCTTTCTGAGGTTTTTCTCAGCTGGAGATATCCTGGAGCTCCCCTCCTACAGGCTGAGCCTCTTCCTCCCCAAACCTGGCAATGTGAGGACCCTACCCACTGAAAAGCCTCCCCTCTGTGCCTTGTCCTCAGGAACAAGACAACCTGGCTGACGCAGAGGAGCGCTGTGACCAGCTGATCAAGAACAAGATCCAGCTGGAGGCCAAAGTCAAGGAGATGACCGAGAGGCTGGAGGATGAGGAGGAGATGAATGCGGAGCTCACTGCCAAGAAGCGTAAGCTGGAAGATGAGTGTTCTGAGCTCAAAAGGGACATTGATGACCTGGAGCTAACACTGGCCAAGGTGGAGAAGGAGAAGCATGCAACAGAGAACAAGGTGAGGGGAGCTCCTTCTGCTCTAGCCCAGGTCTTAGGATTCCTAGACCATGGTGTGGTCCTGCTCCTTGGCATTGGACATCCCCACAGATGTCTCCAGGCTGATGACCTCTGACCCTGAAGGGGATGGGGTTCTTGATCCACAGGTGAAGAACCTGACAGAGGAGATGGCTGGGCTAGACGAGATCATCGCCAAGCTGACCAAGGAGAAGAAGGCTCTGCAAGAGGCCCACCAGCAGGCCCTAGATGACCTTCAGGCTGAGGAGGACAAGGTCAACACCTTGACCAAGGCCAAGGTCAAGCTGGAGCAGCAGGTGGACGATGTAAGTAGATTGTCACAGGACCTAGATATAGTGTGTGTGTGTGTGTGTGTGTGTGTGTGTGTGCACGCGCGCGCGTGTTTGGAAGGATGGGATTGGAGAGGGTTCCCTCCCCTGATACATTTCTAGTAGGGGATTGGAGAATAGAAAAGGGTAAGGGTGATCACTTATAAGTTATGTTTCTCATCCCACTGATATGATCAACAATAGAGATGGACTTCCTTATTTCAATTTAGGTTCAAGCCTTTATATCTCTACCTTCGACCACAGGGTCTAGAGAGTTATCACATAAGAATGTGACACATTTCTTTGGGAATTTTGTGAGGCTCTGAGGATCTTGTGACCTCTAATATTTTAAGCAGGATCTGGCCTTCAGTGGTCATTGTTCCACAGATAGTTTTCTGGGCATATCTCCATTGGATCATTTATCACCCATGTTATCATTATCGAAGTATCTGTCTCAGCCATAACATTGTAAGTGCCTTTAGGTGAGAACTTGGATTGATTCAGTTTTGCATCTGAAGTGCCTAACACACTCCTGCAGGATACTGAATGAATGGAGCTTTGGGTTTTGTCATACAGTCATTCGTGAAATCATTTATCAAATAGTTACTGAGCATCCCTCCAAGCTGGGTGCTCTCATAGTCCCTTGGCCCACTCTGGGAAAGCTTTTCCAAGTCCCTGACATGTCTTAGGATTCCCCAAATCTGGAGTGACTGAACTTCCAAATCCCCAAATCAGGATGATTGGTCTTACGGGGCACACTGGTCCTTCTCCCCACCAGCTGGAGGGATCCCTGGAGCAGGAGAAGAAAGTGCGCATGGACCTAGAGCGAGCAAAGCGGAAGTTGGAGGGCGACCTGAAGCTGACCCAGGAGAGCATCATGGACCTGGAGAACGACAAACAGCAGCTGGATGAGCGGCTGAAAAAGTAGCATGTTCCCCTCCCTGGCGCCTTTCCTCCTCCCCAGCTCAGCAGCCTGTTACACCTATGACAGTACAAGCTGTCCCAAATTGTCCACCCTCGGAGGCTGCAACCTCACACAGCCTCCGTCAGTGGGAACAAAACCATGGGCAAAGGCCTCCAGGAAGAGAGCTCTCCTCCCCCGTCCTCCCTGGCAAAACAGTCTAACCTGGATCCCTTGAGCCTTTTCTTCCTGTTGGGCAGGGGAGAAGGATAGAAACTCATAGCTTGCCTCCTTCTACACACCAGTTGGTTAACCACTTGGAGACCAGTTGCTTAACACCGAGGAGGGCTCCATACAAAAGCCTCTCAGGATGGGCCTTTCAGGTCCTTCTCAGAGAGCCCCGAGGACCACAGAGAAATGGGGGAGCCCCCACTCTTGAGCAGTGCAGGGATCTGATTAACTCATGGATCCAGTTCTTACTGCAAGTCCTACCAAGATGCACACGTCCACTTCCCACACTTGAGAAACAGCCTGCAGGGTAGTTTTGGATAATTAAGGATCTTATGGGGCTCTAGGGTCAGGACTATGAAAGCCTCTAAGAGTCATCATGATTGCATCTTCCTGGGGCCTGTGTCCACCCAGGAGCCCTCACACTTCCCCAGGCACAGCAGGTGCTGAATGAATGAAGGAGTACATGATCCCAAGGATCCTCAAACCACCTTCTAAAAATGGCATTTTGAGGCCCACTTTACCAAAGAGGAAATGAAGGCTCAGAAAGGCTAACCCAACAGCCAAAGTAACGGTGATAGAATTAAAGGCCATCAGAGCTAAAAGGGGCCTTTGAAACCATCTGGTCCAATGATGTCATTCTACAGGACCATAGAGAGGAAGTCCCACAGAACCCAGGTCTTGTCACCCCACCTGTGGTCCTTTGCCCATTACATTTGTTGCCAGACTTGAGGCCTTCAACATGTGGTACATTTTCAGGGACTCTACATCAGCCTCAGACACTACTTTTCTGATGAAATCCTGCTTTTTTTTTTTTTTTTTTTTTGGTATTACCATTTCCGAGTACTGGTGGGCTCTCCTGCTGCCCAATGGACCTTCCTCATCTTACCCTCCCTCCTTCCTCCCAGGAAGGACTTCGAGCTGAACGCCCTCAATGCAAGGATTGAAGATGAGCAGGCCTTGGGCAGCCAGTTGCAGAAGAAGCTCAAAGAGCTTCAGGTAAGCTTTGGGATGCCTAAGCTGGAGCCCCTGGGCGGGCCATCAGCACCCCTTTCTCCAGGTTGTCCTCCCCTCAGCATTACAGGAACTTGCTATAGGTCCATGAAGGGAGAGCCTGAACTATCACAGTACACCCAGGGAGCACCCCTAGGAGGGCTGGGTGATCCAAGGATGACATAGGAAAAGACCTGGAAAAGATCCAGGTATAGGGCACAGAAATCCTGGCTTCCTGTCTCAGCTCTGGTTGAGCTAGCAACTGTGGGGAACTCATTCCAGATACCTGGATCTCTGTGTCCTCCCTTGTTACCAATGGCTTTTAAGATCCCTTTAGCCCTGACGGTCTGTGACTTTGAGTCTTACCCCTAGAGCAGACACTATATTAGGGCTTCAGATAAACATGGTTCTCTCATGCTAAACTTTTAATATTTTTGCCACTAAACTGCTTAAAATATCCCTAGAACACAGGTCTCTTTGTCCCTCTTCAACAGTCAACTTCTGCCACTTTCTTTCCAATAGAAAATGTATAAAGTTCTGGCCTAAAAGAAGGCTAGTTCAGCTATCCAAAACATCTCCTCCAAATCCTTTTATTTCTACTTCTCTGCTGGTAGAACTGAAAAGACTTGCTGTTCCAGACAGGCCAGGAATGCTCTAGAGCTGTGGGGTGGGCACTCCCCAAGGGAGGGCTCCGGGCAGTGGGTCTGAGCCCTCTGTGTCCCGGGCCAGGCTCGTATCGAGGAGCTGGAGGAGGAGCTGGAGGCCGAGCGCACGGCCAGGGCCAAGGTGGAGAAGTTGCGCTCAGACCTGTCCCGGGAGCTGGAGGAGATCAGTGAGCGGCTGGAGGAGGCCGGTGGGGCCACATCCGTGCAGATCGAGATGAACAAGAAGCGCGAGGCCGAGTTCCAGAAGATGAGGCGGGACCTGGAGGAGGCCACGCTGCAGCACGAGGCCACGGCCGCGGCCCTGCGCAAGAAGCACGCGGACAGCGTGGCAGAGCTGAGCGAGCAGATCGACAACCTGCAGCGCGTGAAGCAGAAGCTGGAGAAGGAGAAGAGCGAGTTCAAGCTGGAGCTGGATGACGTCACCTCCAACATGGAGCAGATCATCAAGGCCAAGGTGGGCGGCCTGCTCACCGTCCTCGCCCACAATTATCTCCACCCACCTTCACTTTCTGTCCGTGTCTCCTCTCTTCTCTGATAGTTCCATATCCACTTCCCTTCGTCCACTCTGTTCTCCAAATCTCTCCCGTCCATGCCTCTCCTCTGTACTTCTGTAACTGTATCCCTTTCCACCCTTCAAGGCCCCCCATGTCCATTGTGTGATTCCCCTTTCTCCCTCAGGCTAATCTGGAGAAGATGTGCCGGACCCTGGAAGACCAGATGAATGAGCACCGAAGCAAGGCCGAGGAGACCCAGCGTTCAGTCAACGACCTCACCAGCCAACGGGCCAAGCTACAGACCGAGAATGGTGAGCCCCGCCCCATCTCCCCCGACTGCCCGAGCCACCAGCCTTGGGTAGACTCACACACATGCACACATGCTCATACACCCACACCAACACCCACACCCATACATGCACACCTCTCTCCAGAGAATGGGGCCTAAGGGGAAAGGGAATGGTTGGGGAGAGGGAGAGGTGGCTGACCTTCCAGAGTTGAGTGTGCCTTCGTGCCTCTCCAGGTGAGCTGTCCCGGCAGCTGGATGAGAAGGAGGCACTGATCTCCCAGCTGACCCGAGGCAAGCTCACCTACACCCAGCAGCTGGAGGACCTTAAGAGGCAGCTGGAGGAGGAAGTTAAGGTGAGGCCCAGACTCAAGCCACTTGGCCCAGGCCAGGAGGGAGCAGGTCCCAAGAATGAGGCTTGCTGTCTTTCCATTGTTCTCCCATTTTCCAAATGGATTAATAACCCAGGGCCTAGCTCATGTCTCCTAAATCTATTGTCCAGGCTGAGGCCCTCTGCCCTTCTGCTGTCATTTCTGGGGGGAGGGGGGCTTGGTCAAGGGCAAGTGAGCGGGAGGAGAGAAACACACTAGGGAGGAATGGCAGCCTTGGCAGGGCGTAGGTGTGGGATGCAGGAACTGCCCCAGTGGGTCCTGGGATTAGCAGGACGGTCTGAAAGCTGGAGAAAGAAGCGAAACTGGAGCCTCTTTGGACACTTTCCTTGTGAGCAAAAGGTGGAAAGAATATGACCTTTTTAAAAGGCCAGGGCTCTAATCCTAACATGCCCTTGAGAGCTCGGTAGTCTTGAGGAAGTCCCCTAGTGTCTCTGAGCCCCTGCCTCCTCCCCTGGCAACGGGGATGAGGTTGATATTGACATTTGTAGTGAGAAACAAGAAGTGCTGGGCGTAACTCACGTAAACAGTGCAGCACCCAATGGACATTCTCTGTTACCAGTCCTCCGTGGACTGTTCCAGATCCCCCCAGGAATTAGAGCTGGAGGAGGTCCCAGGGAGGAGGGAGAAATTCAGGTAAGGACATGGGTGAGGACTGGGGTGTACTGTGGAGAAAGCTGAGCCCTCCTCCCTGTGCCCACCCCTCCTCAGGCAAAGAACGCCCTGGCCCACGCGCTCCAGTCCGCCCGGCATGACTGTGACCTGCTGCGTGAGCAGTACGAGGAGGAGACGGAGGCCAAGGCCGAGCTGCAGCGCGTCCTGTCCAAGGCCAACTCAGAGGTGGCGCAGTGGAGGACCAAGTACGAGACGGACGCCATCCAGAGGACCGAGGAGCTTGAGGAGGCCAAGTGAGTCCCCGGGCGGCCCACCCCTCGCTGAGGCCCCTCTGCAGGCAGGACACACCCCAGCCCGACGCTGGGGAGATTCCTCACTGGGGATGGACACTTGGCCAGTTTCCGACAACACAGGAGAACCCTGTCCAGGGCCCCACCTCCTTCTTCTCTCAGGGAAGCTTTTTGCTCGCGTTATGTTTCTCATCCGAATATAAGACGAACAAAAGGTTTGTCTGAGGGCAGAGTGCTCCCACCAGGGGCAGGGTGCTGTGACAGAGGAAGTGGGGTGGGCCATGGAAGCCCATGCCTCCTCCATGTCTGCAGCCTAGAGGCTGGCCCAGGGCCAGAGGAGACCACCTGGAGGCCCCTCCTCGGTGCTGTGGGTCTTCACAGCGTGCCACCAAGACACTCTGCTGGCCAAGTTCTCAGCCCCCTGGGGCCTCTCCTCAACTTCTCCAACAACACTTCTGAGTTTTCAAGGATTGTTTTCTAGAACACTCACATTGTTTCCCCTTGTCCAAATCTACACCCTCCATCTTACCCAACCCTGTCCCATTTCCCAAATCGCCACTGCCCCGGGCAGGAAGAAGCTGGCCCAGAGGCTGCAGGACGCTGAGGAGGCCGTGGAGGCCGTCAACGCCAAGTGCTCTTCACTGGAGAAGACCAAGCACCGGCTGCAGAATGAGATCGAGGACCTGATGGTGGACGTGGAGCGCTCCAACGCAGCTGCCGCGGCCCTGGACAAGAAGCAGAGGAACTTCGACAAGGTGGGCCTGGGCTGGGGGCTCAACCAGGGGCAGAGCAGGGAGGCCAGCGTCACCAGGAAGCCAGGGACCTCCTCCTGGGGGACAGGGAGCGGGTGGCTGGGGAGGAGGCTGAGCCCTGCCGAGGGGCCTGGGCAGGCCCTGGAGGACCGGGGGCAGTGAGGGGGTGGGCTGGGGCTGAGGGCTATGCAGTGAACTGGGTCCCCACAGATCCTGGCTGAGTGGAAGCAGAAGTATGAGGAGTCCCAGTCCGAGCTGGAGTCCTCGCAGAAGGAGGCGCGCTCCCTCAGCACAGAGCTCTTCAAGCTCAAGAACGCCTATGAGGAGTCCCTGGAGCATCTGGAGACCTTCAAGCGGGAGAACAAGAACCTCCAGGGTGCGCTGGGGCCGGAGAGGCCGGGGAGGGGCTGGGGAGAGCCTCCTTGTGTGGCGCCACCTATGGGCTCTAAGAGGGGCATCCCCCATGGGGGGATCATGGCAGCCCCCAACTGAGCGGCCTGGCCCCTCCCCCAGAGGAGATCTCCGACCTGACGGAGCAGCTGGGTTCCAGTGGAAAAACCATCCACGAGCTGGAGAAGGTCCGCAAGCAGCTGGAGGCTGAGAAGTTAGAGCTGCAGTCGGCCCTGGAGGAGGCTGAGGTGGGTGTGCGGGGCGTGGCCGGGGTGGGGGCAGGGGCGCCGGGCCCTGGGCTGTGGGCTCTGTTCTCATCTCCCTTTTGTCCATTTTGTTCACCAGTCCATCCTTAGAGCCTGACACATAGCAGCCACTCAATAAATATTGTGGGATAAATGCATGCATGCGTAGATCACTCTATTTCCTTCACACAGACATTTTACCTGGGAATTGTAGAAAGATTTCCCGGATCCACTCCCCTCTCCTTTCCGCCTCTGCCTCCCACTTCGGGATTTTTTACATTTTGTGCCTGATTGCCTCCGTTTCCTTGGCAACACCTTTCTCTTCATTTTCCTCTTTGTCTTCCTAGCTTGCTCTCTCTCCTCAGTGAGGGTCTGAACCACCTCTCCTAAGCCTATTTTTTGTTTCTTTTAAATTCTCTGTTCTTCTTCCTCCTTCTGCTTCTTTGACTGAACCACTTAATAGCACTCTTGAACTCACTTAGTATCCGTGACTCGTGGGCAGACCCCTGGCCCTGGCCCTGTGCCCTGACTGTCAGCCTCCAACCCTCTTGCCCCACCCCCTGCCAGGCCTCCCTGGAGCACGAAGAGGGCAAGATCCTGCGGGCACAGCTGGAGTTCAACCAGATCAAGGCGGAGATTGAGCGGAAGCTGGCGGAGAAGGATGAGGAGATGGAGCAGGCCAAGCGCAACCACCTGCGCATCGTGGACTCGCTGCAGACGTCCCTGGACGCCGAGACGCGCAGCCGCAACGAGGCCCTGCGGGTCAAAAAGAAGATGGAGGGCGACCTCAACGAGATGGAGATCCAGCTCAGCCACGCCAACCGCCTGGCTGCGGAGGCCCAGAAGCAAGTCAAGGGTCTCCAGAGCTTACTGAAGGTACGGAGAGGCTCCAGACATGGGAAGTCCCCTTACCTGGAGATGGACTAGCCTCCACGTGGTCATGCCGGGGGCTGGTGTCCCACCAGAGCCGTGCTCCCTCCGGCTCCTGCAGAGACATCCTACAGTGCCCCCGCCCCCGACCCGCCCGTGGGGCTCTCCATCGGCACCCAGCCTAGCCTAACGGCCTTCTGATGAGGACAGAGGCCAACCGCTCTCTTGGGCCCACCCTCCTGGTCTGCAGGACACCCAGATCCAGCTGGATGATGCAGTCCGCGCCAACGACGACCTGAAGGAGAACATCGCCATCGTGGAGCGGCGTAACAACCTGCTGCAGGCCGAGCTGGAGGAGCTGCGGGCCGTGGTGGAGCAGACGGAGCGCTCTCGGAAGCTGGCGGAGCAGGAGCTCATCGAGACCAGCGAGCGGGTGCAGCTGCTGCACTCCCAGGTGAGCCGCCCCGAGGTGCAGTCCTGGAGGGAAGCACGGCTGGCAGGACTCGGCCCGGTGAGGTTTGGGAGCCCCCCGTGGATGCTCAGGGCTTCTTGTGCTCTGCCCACCTTGATCCTCAGAATACCAGCCTCATCAACCAGAAGAAGAAGATGGATGCAGACCTGTCTCAGCTTCAGACCGAAGTAGAAGAGGCGGTGCAGGAGTGCAGGAACGCCGAGGAGAAGGCCAAGAAGGCCATCACCGATGTGAGTGACTGCTCCCCGCCTGCCCCCCACTAAAGACAGGAACGAGGGCCCTGGGTCCTGGCCAGGCCAGCGTGCCATGACAAGCCGCCTCCTACAGCTGCACGGGTGGGCGGGCCTCGGGAAACAAACGCCAGGCTGGGCAGACGGTGATCCTGGAGGGACCAGGGGCCCTGGGCCCTGTTCTTCTAGACCTCCCTCCTGCCCCCAGGCTGCCATGATGGCCGAGGAGCTGAAGAAGGAGCAGGACACCAGCGCCCACCTGGAGCGCATGAAGAAGAACATGGAGCAGACCATCAAGGACCTGCAGCACCGGCTGGATGAGGCTGAGCAGATCGCCCTCAAGGGCGGCAAGAAGCAGCTGCAGAAGCTGGAGGCCCGGGTGCGGGAGCTGGAGAACGAGCTGGAGGCCGAGCAGAAGCGCAACGCGGAGTCGATCAAGGGCATGAGGAAGAGTGAGCGTCGCATCAAGGAGCTCACCTACCAGGTGCGGGCATGGGGGCTGCTCTTGGCTGGATCCCCTGCACCAGGGCCAGAAGCTAGGATTCCACCAAGAGGAATGAAGTGTTGTTCTCTCTTAGCCTGCTCCAGAGCAAGGAGTGGGAGTGCATCCCCCTGCTGCCCCGTTTCCACTCTGCCTAGCCCTGTCCTACACTGACTGTCCCCTGGCTAGAGGTCAACCTCTGAACCTCTTGGCCTGGGAGCTCTGCCTTCAACCTCACCCTCCGCCTGTCCACTGCGGACAACACCTACCCAGAGCTCCAGACAGAGCTCACCCAGCACAGATTCCCCGAAAGCAAGTATGTCACCAAGCCCTGGTTGGGGGCCATGACCACCAAAATACACCAAAAACTACCCCAAAGTCATTCAACACATCTCAGAACTTTCTGGTTTGTTTTCTACAATCAGACTCCTAATTAGATTTTACTCCTGTTCCAACCCAGAAAGTCCAGAAAGGACACACATGTCCTTAGATCGAATCTCTTCCCTGCATCCCGGGAAATCTCAGCATGCAATCCCAACGTTACTACCAACACGCGCTGGCTTCTAGAACAGGAGAGTTTATCCTCCACAGGACCCCTAAGGGCCTGCTCCCTGGAACAGCGAACATGCATGGTTTTGTGCAGGATTTCAGGATTCCATCAGCTCCCCAGACTCTTTCCTAAAATAAACCATTAAAAATAGAATAGTTTTTTATGATAGATAAATAAATAAATAAATAAAGGGAAGAGCGCCAGTGTTTGCTGAGGATCAGCATGCCGATATTTCACTCTGAGTAAAGACAACAAGCAGGGGGAGGGGGCAAGCTCCCCCTCATGACCATGCCGTCCTCACCCCTAACCTCCCCACTCCAGACGGAGGAGGACAGAAAGAACCTGCTGCGGCTGCAGGACCTGGTGGACAAGCTGCAGCTGAAGGTCAAGGCCTACAAGCGCCAAGCCGAGGAGGCGGTGAGCGACCCTGCTAGGGACTGGGCCTGGAGGAGGGACACTGTGGAGCCTCCCCCACCCACCCTGGGCTGGGAGGCTGTGAGGACCTCTGGCATCCTCTCACCTCCTCCTCCCCATCCCGACCCCCGCAGGAGGAGCAGGCCAACACCAACCTGTCCAAGTTCCGCAAGGTGCAGCATGAGCTGGATGAGGCCGAGGAGCGGGCGGACATCGCTGAGTCCCAGGTCAACAAGCTTCGGGCCAAAAGCCGCGACATTGGTGCCAAGGTGGGTGGGCCTTGCCTGGGCCTCACTAGTCACTGTGTCAGCACACCTGCCACCATCAATGCCCCTCAGACAGAGCCCGCTCATGCCAGGGAGGGCCCCTCTTCATTCACCACCACCACCCCCAACAATTAAACCCTGAAGCCCCAGAGGGCCAGGTAAAGCAGTCCTCGGGGACGTCTAAGATTCTTCCAGCTCTAACTTTTAATGACTTTGTAAATCCCAGGCCCAGGGTGGTCAGCAACTCTAGAAGGCCCCCATTTGTATATACCCACTATATCCCAATTCCCCCCAACTGTGGGTCTCCTCTCATCTTCCACTACTTTTGGCCCAGAGCTCAGTAACTCAGCCCTAAAGTGGAAAGCCCAGAGGACCCCCTTGTCCTCACCCAGGCAGCACCCTCTGGCTGACCTCACAGTCCTCACCCCTCCACACCAACCCCTAGGACACATCTCTCACCACCATGGGGGCTTCCCTCAGGCCCTAAGCGGTTCCCCCCCCCATCAGGTGCCCTGTCTCCCCTTTTTTCTGCCCCCATGTCTGCCCAAAACCTACCTCCCCAGAGCTAACTGGGGTTTTGTGTCCTTTCAAAAGGGCTTGAATGAGGAGTAACTTTGCCACATCTTGGTCTGCGCTGTCCTGAGGGTGCTGATGAAGCTTCCAGTTCCACAGCCTCTACAGCAGACCCTTTGGAGGAAGCAGAATAAAGTTATTTCCGTTAAGCCAAGATCTGGCCTCCAGACTCTTCTTCACTGCCCGCCAGCCACAGGGACCTGAACGTGGGGGTGGGGCTGGGGTTCCAGGAGTGGAAGGGCTGCTTTGCAGGCAGTGCAAGGAGGCCTTCCTGGGGAGCCCTGGAGGCCCTGAGTATCCTCAGTGACGGACTGGCCCAGGTGCTCCCATTTGTCTCCTCCACAGCAGGTGACACCTGTCCTCCCAGCCCTCTCCCTGGTCCAGAGACCCTTGGGGTTCAAGGAGATTTAAAAAACCCTTAAGGCTTGCTGAGAGCACAAGCATCCCTTCTGCTATGAGCCTACACTGACTGACACTACCCTGTCCCCCAACCAGGGCTGGGCTGCCAGGACAGAGCGAGGTATAGGGATGCCCTCTGAGGTGTGGGCAAATGACTCCCAATCCCTGGCCCAGGGCAGGTCTCAGAGGGCACAGGGACTTGTGGTTACAGTCCATTTTACCCTTGTAGACACAGCCACCCCTGTCTCCAACCACCCTGAGGTCAGGGCCCCCAACCCCACCACAGCCGGAACTGTTCCCTCAGCCCAGCCTCCTCAGACCCCCCCCCTCAGATCCCCCTCTGTGCACAGCGCTCCTTTCTTCTCCTTCACTTCCTCCAGCTGGAACTTCCTTTCCCAAGACCCTCCTCATCTGGGCTTGCTGGAAGATGGGGCATCTTTGGCTCATTTATGGCTGGCCATCTGCAGAGGAGGCAGGCAGATGAGGGAGTGTGGAGAGGAGAGTCCCCCGTAAGCAAGACTTTGGGGAATGGGGGGGGGCAATGGCAGAGGGCTGGGAAGTGGAGAAAGGAGCAAGCCTCCTCCCAACTAAACAAGCCCAATCCCCCAGAGTCACCACCACACCTGGGCTGCTGAGGGAAGCCTGGCACTGTGGGCCACAGCAGGAAGGAGCTCACAAGGCCTGGGGCTGTCAGCCACCCACTGGGAGCCCCGGAAGGCCTGGCTCAGCCTTGGACCGAATCTCCTGTGCCCAACCACACAGCCGCCCCAGCCAGGCTCCTCCTCAGCCCCCACTCTGAGTAGCCAGGAAGAGGGCCTACCCCAGGAAGAATCAGAGAATAGGAGGAGAAGGGAAGCAGAGAAAGAGGGGATAACTGAGGAGGGTGGCAGTGAAGGGAGGTGGAGCTCAAGAAATTGGGGGCCCCTGGGGCCTGGGGAACCAATAAAGAGAAAAGATACAAGCAGTGAGGAGGCCTTGGAAAGATCCATGGGCTCCCAGACTTGTCCTTGTGGGCCCCTCTATCCACCCACCCCAGGACCACTTCTCTTCCTAGGAAGGACTTGGGGAGCAATGAGGAAGTCAACAGAGGATAGGGAGACACAGGGGAACCCTGAGAACGCAAGCTTTGACAGAGGAGAGAGGCAGGAAACATGGTGGAGCCCGGCCGCCGGTGGGAGGAGGGGGCTGACCTGTGGGGAAACAGAAAGGTAGGGTGAACTTTGGAGAGAGATGCTGCAGGAGCTGGGGTGGGGGATGTCACCTGGCAAGGGAAGAAATCCTGGGTCACCTTCAGATGTGAGGAAAATCGGTAAGGCCAGGAGTAGTGACGTTAGAGAGGGGCAGACAGAGACCCCGGAGCAGGACACAGAGGCAGAGATGAGACCGGCAGAGGGTGAGCAGAGGTCGGGCTGAGAGCAAGCAGAGACTCATGGAAATGTCCACACATCGGACCCCAGGACAGGTAGAAATCAGATGCCAGGGAGACTCAGAGGCCAAGCCCAGCTTTGAGGCAAAGAGCCAGGCAGAAGGAAAGGGAGGTCAGCCAGAGACAGACAGAGATCCAGAGAGCCAGGCACAGCATGGCAACCTGGTGTCCCCTCACCTGTGGCATGAGTGTCCATCCTGTGCCCTTGCACTCCAGAACTTCCAGCGCAATGAGAAGCCGCTGAGGGAGGATGGAGCACAGGGATGGATGTGAGAGCCCACCGTGAAGAGGGGACCTATGGGAAGGAAGAGGAGGGGAAATGGACCAGACAGGTGGGCAGAGCCCTGGAATCAACTTAACCTCATCCCTCTTCCTTGTTCCATTGGAGGCAGTGGGAACGGCCTGCCTGCTGCTCAGCTGCTGCTCCACCTCTGCTGAAACCAGCCTGCTTGGAACACAGGGTTCCCTGAGGACAGAGCCTGGTCTTTGTCGGCAGGACCTGACCCAATCTGACCTGGTGTTCTTAGCCCCTTATCATCTCCCCAGGGCAATGAGAACTGGGTACTGACGCACGGGGCAAACCCCCCAGCTTGCACGCTTGCACCCTGGGACCTCAAGCGACCTGGAGCTGGGGACAGGTGGTCTGCATCCCTTGGGGGACTAACATTTTGGTGTATGTACCTGCATGAGATGTGGATGTGGGGCTGACGCAGGTCCCTGCCCCCTCAAGGACACTGGGTATAGGGTACACATCCGTTGAAACAGATGCATGTTTCCGAGTCCAATAATGGGGCAGTGGTGGTGGTGGGGTCCTAGGGAGTTGGGGACCTTGGGGGAGAAGCCACATATTTAATAGAAACCTCTCCTACCCAGAGAAACTGACCCTGGTCTGTCCTACCCACCTCCACACTCTAGAGCTATATTGAGAGGTGACAGTGGATGAGGTGGGAGCGGGGAGCTGAGAGAGTGTTCCTGCGTGTGAGGGTGTGGGGGAAAGCCAGAGCAGGGGAGTCTGGCTTTGTTTCCTGAACACAATGTCCATCCACTTAGTCATACCAGGCACGGCCTGCTGAAGGCCAAACACCTTACTGCCTCTGAGAGGTGGCATCACTGGAGGCCAGGGAGGGGAGCCTTGAGGGCCTGGGGCACTCGGGGACACAGGCAAGAAAGGGCATGTGAGTAGGAGCCCCAGGAGGTTTGGGAGAGGACACAGGAGTTCTACCTGAGGAGGGGGAGATGGACTGCAGAACGCCCCGCCCCCACCCCATGGAATGCAGAGCTTGGGGCCCAGCTGGTGTAAATCCCTGGGCCTGCCAGGCGCCCCAGCCAGCCAGAGCAGCACCTGCACCCTCTGGCAGCCCGGAGAGGGAGAGGCGGAAGGGAGCAGCCCCCCACCCCTACCTCTCCTCCCTCAGGCCAGGATTAACGCCTCCTGCCTTGCCCTACCCGCTCCCAATCCCACGTCCCACACCAGGAGCAGTGGAGGGTTAAACTTTCGCGTGGGAATGTGGATGTGCAAATGTGCGTGTCGGTGTGCCTAACCGCAAGTGGGAAAATCTGCGATTGTGAGCGTGTAAGTGTGAAAAGTCTGCATGTGTGTGGCTAGGAATGCGCCCGGACGTGCAGTTGTCAAGTCGATAGGGGCGGGTAGTGGACCGTGGGTCTGAGTGTGAATTTGTGGTTGGTGTGGGAGAATTCCTTCTCCTTTGAGAGGGCAGACGGTGGCCACTGCAGCAGGAGCATTACGGGAGGGGCTGGGGCTCCAGATATGTCCCTGAAGCAGCACAGCCTCAAGTCCACAGGAGAATACCTGCCTGGACATCTGGGGACCAGAAGGAAACCAGGTACACTGCATTTGTGCAGGGAGAGGGCAGCACACACATCTGTTTTCTAACAAAGGGAAACCGAGTCATGGAGCTGGGCTGTAGATTCCCCTTGTTGGGCATCCCGGCTCCGGCTCCCAGCCCCTAGCACCATGGGACCTCAGGTCAGAGAGGGTGGGCAGATGTTCCCAGCCTGGGGGTGTGTGAGGACAGGCCAGGGTAGAAATGGGTAGAAGGGTGGGAAACCCGTGGCTGGGGTCAGGGGACAGCATCTGGCCTTCAGGAGAAGGTGACTCTAGCCCAGTGTGCTTAGCTCACCCTCCAGGTTAAAAATAACCAAGGTAAGGGCCTGGCAGGCAGGGGCATTTGTGCAAGAAGGTCCTGTCTTCCTACTATCTGCCCATCAGTTCTTTGGAGGAAAGGAATGTGCCCAAGGACTAAAAAAAGGCCCTGGAGCCAGAGGGGCTAGGGTGACAGACCTTTCATGGGCAAATCTAGAGGCCCTGCTGTCCTCCTGTCACCTCCAAAGCCAAGGGATCAAGGGAGGAGGAGCCGGGAGGGAAGAGAGGTGGGAGGGAGGGTCCCTCCGGAAGGACTCCAAATTTAGGCAGGGGTTGGGAGCAGCAGGATATAAAGGAGATGGCTCCCCTAGGACAGACAGACACTCCTCTGAACCAGGTAAGAGAGAGTTTGGTGGACTCTGCGGCCAGTCCCCGGAGCCCCCACCTTGAAGGACTCCACCTGCTCGGGGAATGGGGTGCAGGTTGGTCTGAGGCCCAAGGGTTCTGCTAGAACTGCCTTGCTCCAACCCCGGGAAGTTCCTACCGACAGAGGGGAGGTTCCCAAGGAAAACCCAGAAAACTCTTTTCTCCTCTGATCTACCTTTCTTTCCCTGCCTCTGCTGTCCCCCACTTTCTGTATCCTCCATGTCTGCCCTCCATCCCCCTCCCTCCTTGAATAGCTTTCTGCTCTTTGCCTGGTTTTATGTTGTCTCCTGGTCTTTATCAATACTTGTCACTCTGGTACTTCTTTGTCTGTCCCCCTGGCCCATCCCTCCTGTCGGCGTGCATGTGTGTTCTAATCTTCTCACCTCTCTCTATCTCCCACTCTGATTCCCTGTCCACCCCTGGCGCTCTCACCAACTCTGCATCCTTTCTTTACCGGCTCTCTGCCTCTTCTCTCTCCCAAAATCCCCATTTCGGTCGGTCCTGCTCGTCCGGCTCTTTGGGTCGATCCTCCTGGCTCACTTCTCCCTGATGACCCTTCTCCACTGTTGTCTCTCCTCGTCTGGTCTTCCCTCTGCCCGCCTGGTTCTCTGTGGTTCCACCTACAGTCCAGAGTCTTCAGGATTCTCCGTGAAGAGATAACCAGGTGAGAACCACTCCAATCCTCTCGTGGGAGCCAGGTTGCTGGACTGGGGCCCCCTGTCTCTCCTCTAGGCAGCTCAGAACCTCCCCTTCCTCAGAACGCCAGCCAATTCCAGCCCATGCAGACCCTTAGATAGTCTCCTTCTGCGTCGGGTCAGAGGGCAAAGGAAGGAGAACCTAAAGCACGGGGAGGACGGGACCCAGGCCAGGGTCTCCTCAGTGGTAGGGCGGAATAGAGGGCCAGGTGGTGAGGAGGGGTGGCCGGGAGTGGGGGTGCAGAGCACCGGGAGGAGGTGCCACTGTCTCAGTTGGCCCTTCTGTCTCAGGCGCAGGGAAGCACCAAAATGACCGATGCCCAGATGGCCGATTTTGGGGCGGCAGCCCAGTACCTCCGCAAGTCAGAGAAGGAACGTCTGGAGGCCCAGACTAGACCCTTTGACATCCGCACTGAGTGCTTCGTGCCCGACGACAAGGAGGAGTTCGTGAAGGCCAAGATCTTGTCCCGGGAGGGAGGCAAGGTCACTGCTGAGACAGAGAATGGCAAGGTGTGTGGGGGCATAGTGCCAGGGAAAGGGAGAGAAGGTTTGGTGGGGGGCTGCAGGGGTGAGGCCACTTGCTGTGGGAGCTGAGGGCTTGGGAGAAGAGCTAAAGCAAGCAGGAGTGCCAGACATGACCCCTCGAGGAACCCAGCACTTGGGAGTGAACTCTGACGTTTCTCAGATGGACCTGAGCAGTGGAACAGGGGTGCGTGCTCTTTGCCAGAGAGGATGCTGGGACCGGGAGGTGGGGAGTACCTCCACTGGTGTCTGCCTCAGTGGGGTCCTGGAGATAAAAAAGACACAGACACAGCGTCAAGTAAAGTTCATTCTTGTATGCATATCCCCACCTCTCTGTACCTCAGTTTCCTCCACAGAACAACTCCCCCAAATTCACCTCACCCAAACCAAGAGCAAACTCTTAGAACCAGATGAACACAAAAAGCAGGAGTTCTTGAGCTGAACGCTCAGTCCCGGGGTTAGTGACTAGTGCTCAGAAGTCCATAGTACCTGCTTCCTCTCACAAGCCATAAGGGTCGTCACTGGTCACTAGCAGCGGCTCACACCGTTTGTCTTCAGACCTGCCGACTGAATGTTGGGTCCCAACGAGGTGTGCAATAACAGGTCACAATCTGCTGGGGGCTTTGACTCTGGTCCCGGTTCTGCCGCTGGTTGTCTACCAAGCTGGTAAATCATTTAATTATTCTAGCTGCAGCTTCCTCCACTGTCCAGAAACAATACCAGAATACCTATCTGCAGGGTCTGAAGATGTTAGGGCATGGCGAAGTGACTGGTGCCACATGAACCACCTTAATGGTGACCAATGGGGACTGTAGGTTGGTGGTAGAGATGTTTCCCAGCAGGGCAAGGTTTGCCCTGAGCCACTGCAGGCCACAAGGAGTGCCCCCAGGAGTCAGGGTAAGTTGTGTGCCCAGATTGGACAGCTGCCAGCCCCGCCAAGTTTGCCGCTAGGTGCACGAAGCAGGGACAGAAAGGGGCTGCTCATGGGCACAAGCCCTGGGGCACCAGCAAGACACGGAGACCCTAGGATGGGAGGCACTAAGTCGTCTGGGGAAAGCACTAGGGGGAAGCTATGAGGCAGGGCTTGGGTGCTGGTCAGAGCAGAGTTGGGGGATCAAGGTTGTGGACCGTGTTTTGGGAGGAGGTAAGTGCGTGAGGCTGGCGAGCAAGGACTGTCAAGGTGGGAGTGCGGTCATCCCTGTCTGTGTACCCTCCCCAGACTGTAACCGTGAAGGAGGACCAGGTGTTGCAGCAGAACCCGCCCAAGTTTGACAAGATCGAGGACATGGCCATGCTGACCTTCCTGCACGAGCCCGCCGTGCTCTTCAACCTCAAGGAGCGCTATGCAGCCTGGATGATCTACGTGAGTGTGCATGGCAGGAAGCCAGCCCTGGGTGGACGACAAAGTAGGCCAGCGCCACTCTCTCAAGGCGAGGGGTCAGGATTCTCCCAGGGGTCTCAGCCCCCCTCTGCCCCCT